TGTGGGTGGCCTTACGTTAGGGACAAGGCCAAAAATTGTCAAAATTTCCACACCCGGGTCCACTTTTTAGGAAGCCGAAAAAAAAGCTTTTTTTGCCCCAAGAGGGGGGAAAGGGAGCAAAATTTATCTGGCTTTTACCCTTTCTCCAGAAAAATCACCCCTCTGGGGGATCAAAACATACCCAGGAGGGCTCGAGTATGGAACACCCTTCGTTCAGCATAATGATGTCAACGAGATAAAGTCAGTTGATCAAAAGAAAAAAACTGGCCCACAGAGGCTCCAACTTTATCCCGTTTTCCCCACTTTGTATGTCCATAACAATAAAAAAGCTTTTTAAATGAGTGATGTAAAGGGAAAGCTTTTTAGCTTGTCAATAAAGTTGGAAACCTTTAACCCTTTTAAATTTGCTTGTCAATAAATAGGATCCTTAAAACCCTTTTCAAACCATGTGTAAAAAAAAAAAAAAAAAAAAAAAAAAAAAAAAAAGAGAAAAAAGAAAGGGGGAAAAAGGGGAAAAAAAAGAAGAGAAAGAAAGAGAGAGAAAAAAAGAAAAAGAGAGAGAAAAAGGAGGAGGGGAGAAAGAAAAAGAGAGAGAAAAAAGAGAGAAAGAGAGAAAAAAAGAGAGAAAGAAGGGGAGAGAAAAAAAGGGGAGGGGAAAAGGGGAAAGAGAAAGAGAAGAGAAAGAGAGGAGGGGAAAGAAAGAAAGAAGAAAGAGAGAAGAGAGGGAAAGGGGGAGAAAGAGAAAAAGAAAAAGAGGGGGAAAGAGAGAAAAAGAGAAAGAGGAAAAGAGAAAAAGAGAAAAAAAGGGGAAAAAGAGAAAAAAAAAGAAAAGAGAGAGAAAAAGAGAAAAAAAGAAAAAAGAAAAGGGGAAAAAAAAAAAAATTGAGGGGAAAAAAGGGGGGAAAGAGAAAGAGAGAAAAAGAGAAAGAAGAAGAGAAAGATAAGAGAGAGAAGAGAAGAGAGAAAAGACTGATTTTGGGAGGTTTTTTCCCCGAATGTTTAAAGGGAAATTCTGAAAAAAGAGAATTATTGTGGGGGACCTTTAAATGATAAATGGCAAGACAGTTCTAGATGTACAGTAGGAAAATTTGGAGTTTACAGGGGTAAATTTTAAAAATGGGATTTCCCCAACTGAGTGCATGTTGAAAGGGCTTTGGTAATTAGATATCAAAGAAGTTTGGTTAAATGAAATATGTGCATAGGGAATGAGCAATAAATGGTGGACTAAAATGGGGGCAGAAAAAAGTGGGGGGGAGAAAATGTTTGTACATAAATGATTATTACAAGGTTTAAAAATTACATAAAGAAGCAAAATTTTTAAAAAGAAAAATGGTTAAATGGGGGAAGTACAAAAAAAAGCAATAAAAAAAAAAAAAACCAAGAGAAAAGAATAAGAAAAAAATTTTGTTAATTAAAAGTGGAAGTAATGAAATGTTGAAATGAATGAAGTAGCATTAGGAAAATTTTTGAGAAAACTTAAAATGTTTTTCTGTAGATGAAATAAGGGGGGTAAACATGGGATCGAGCAGGAAGTAGGAGGGAAACTGCAGGAGGAAGAGCTCAAAAAGAGAAAAGAAAATATGTGAAGTAGTAAGGGTGAATTTTGAAAAAAAAAAAAAACAAGGGTGAATGTGATTTTAAGGGGAAAAAATCGGAAATGGGAAAGTTGGGCCAAGGATATAAAAACCTGGAACAAAAAAAAGTTTTTGCGGGGGGGATATCCAAGGGTTTTTTCCCCAGGGTGACAAACCTTTCCCTTTATGGAAAAAATCCAATATGAATTAAAAAAAAACATTAAAAAAAATATATGTGTTCTGAAAAACCCAAAGGGGGGCTGCAGGGAATTTAAAAAAACCCCGCCCACATGTGTATTTTTGATGTGCACATGTGTGTGTTGTTTTGTTCTGGGTGGTACTCATGCCAAAAAGGGGCTTTCTACAAGCAAAACAGCATCATCTGGAAATGCTTCAGATAACAGTTCTGAAATACATTTTAAAGTATCTTTCCCAGGAGGGAAATTAAAAAAGGGCACTGAAGCAAGCTCACTTTTTAACAAGAAAAGTTGGCTAGATTTTTAAACCTTTTTAAAACCAGTTAAAATAAATTTTTTTTTTATCTGTAAAAATTGGGTAAAATCAGCATTTTGGTGCTAAAAATAAAAGATGTGCTAAAAACTTCATAATTTCCCCCGGGTAAAAATAAAATTTTTAATTTTCGAACAGGGCCACTGACTTTGGGTTTTTAGTCTATATTGGGGCTATTACCCAAATGCTGCCCCTTTTTTTCCCAGTCAAAGAAAGGCTATTATAATCTAAGTTTCCCGGAAGATACCCGGACCACTTGGGTTATTAAAAAATGTTAAGGAAAAAATCTTTTAATAATTTTTCCCACTCCCCAAATGTTTAAAATTTTTCTACAGGATTCCACCATGATAAAGGGAAAATAAAAAACCCGGGCCTTTTTTTTTATTAATCTATTTAAAAATTTTAATTAATTGGTTTTTATGTAAACTTTTTATGAGAAACTAAATAATGTACAGCAAAACTTCAAATATAACAGCCAGTATATAAAAAGGTTTAAAAAATGATAAGATCCACAAATAGTAAATCCTGAAAAACAATTAAAACCCTGTTAATTTTGGGGACAGCCAAATTAATTCATTCCTAAATGTTAACGAAAGTCATAACAAAGTTCCTGTGCATCTTTTTTTCACTTGATGGTTTCATATTATTAGTTAGGAAGGAAAAAAAATTTAAATTCCCCTGATTAAAAAAATCCTGTTACTAAAATACAAAACCCAAAAACCCCCAAAAAGAAAAAATAAATAAAATATGCATTTAAAGTTAAATATATTTTCCCTGTGGGGGGGGGCCCTTTTTTTTTAACTTATGTGAAGTATCCACATTTTGGTTATGCAGATTTTTCAAAGAAAACGAAGTAATCTTTGACTAGCTACAAAAAAAGATTTTTTTTCTGGAAGTTTTCAGGGGAATTTTTTCAAGGTATCTCAGAATTTTTTATCCAATGTTTTTAAATAAATTAAGGTTACTGCTTAAACAGATTTGGGAAACTCTATTTAAATTTCTGTTTCCTAAAAAACCCGTCCCCAAAGTTTTCTACGTTAACTATTTATACCCCTGAAACCCCATTCTGTCCCAATTTTTTTTTATAAACCCCCCTTTTTTTTCATTGTCTTGACGATACACCCCCCTCCCCTTTTGAAAAATTTGTGAAAGAAAACCCGTTTTTACTTTTTGTTTCACCTTTGGGGATGACTTTCCCCCAATGTCATAACTTCCCGCTCAAACTCATCAGAAAATTTTTTACCAGAATTAAAGGGGTTTAAAATTTTTTTCAATAAACTGGAAAAAAAGAAAGGGGCATTAAAAATTTAAAGAATACCTTAACATTTTAACAAAAAAAAAATGTTCAAAACCTTCATAATCAAAACAAAATTTGGGAAATTTCAAAAACTTACCGGCTAAAAATAATACAGTAGAGTGGGTTCCCTTGAGTTACAATTTAATCCATTCCAGAAGGCAAATTGTACCTCAAAATTGTCATAACTCAAAACTCTAAAATAAAAGGCTCTACGGTAATTTTTTTTCCAAAAATCCAGGAAAAAAGGGGAACTTTTTTAAATGTAGCTTGGACTTTTAAAAGATAATTTGGGGGTGGGGGGGGAGGGGGAGGGGAGGAAACTCCTTCCCCAAACCAAAGCCCCTTGAAAAAAAACGCCCAGTGTTGTTTGTTTTGTTTGCTTTTTCTAGGGCTTTAAAAAAGATAGAGCATTTTTCCTCAAAAACACAAAGTGAAATAAAATTTTTTTTTTAAAGCCTGGGTGCTTTCTTTTTATTCTTTTCACACCTTCCCAAAAGAAGGGGAAAAACCTGAATTTTTTTTTTTGCAGCTCTTAAATTTTATGGTTTTCTTCTCCCCATCCATCTTTCCCGATTCCTGGAGTTCCCTTTTGTTGTCAACTCCTTTTGGGGGTCCCCGAATAAAAATCCACATCCCTTCATCAACCTCCAGCACCAATTTTTTTTTAAACCCAAAACAAAACTTCCCCCATTTACATCCTCCCCAGCCTCAAATCCCCTTTAAGTTCGTGTGACTGAAAAGGGTTGGGAATTCCCTTTTGAGATTTCATGAAGCACTGATGGAAAATTTAAACCAAAGGGGTTTAAATATGATCAACAACCTAAAATTTTAAAATTAGTCTTTCCCAAAAATTTGTGAGGTGAGGGGTCCTTTCCTGAAAACTCGGGAAAGCAATTGGGGAAACATCAAACTTAGTGCAAATTTTTCTTGAAAAATTTTCAAAAATTTGCTGGTCCAAAAAGGTTAAGCGGGGAGTTTTTGCTGGGTATTCTATCCTATCCCAAAAAATTTTTTTCAAAATCTAAAAAAAAATCTCCATGGGGGAAATGGAACAGAATTTTTCCTCCGTAACCCCTGCGTGTCGTTTAAAAGGCGACTAAAATGCCCGGAGCAAGGGGCTAGTAAAACCCCCTTTTCCTGTATATTTCTATTACCAAAAATTTTAAAAGGGGAAACTTTCCCTTTTTCCCTTTTTGGGGCCCCCCCACCCCATTTGGAAAGGTGGTACGTTTAAAGAAAGGGAAAATCTCCCCAAAAATTTAAAATTTCCTTTTTGAGGGTAAACCCTAACTCAAAATTATTTTAAAAATTAAAATTGCATAGCTCAAAAAATTTCCTAACACAAGAAACCCTCCCTTACTCAAGGGACCCCTGAAAAAGCAATTTAGAACCCCTTTAATTAAAAGGCCCAATACACATAATTTACAGTTTAAATATATAATAAACAAATCAATTAAATATTCTAGACTGTCAAACACTAACTTTAAAATTTATCTTTTTCTAATAAATGATAAAGAACAGGTTACTAGCTCCTCGCACAAAACAAAAAAAATTACATATTCAAACTGGAAATCTGCACTGTACTTTTTAACTACTTTTTTCAGTCTATAAAAAATGAACAACAGAACTGTTCTTCAAACCTGCTGAAAAATCTGAAGTTCTAACATCTTCTCAACAAATGGCTGGAAATTTGGAGGACGGATTGCAACAAACTTCTCTCGGTTAAAAGTAATTTTTGAATCTTCTTCTCTAAACTGCAATGCTTCTTTGTAGTTGCCAATGAGCTGGACGAGTGCACGCAAGAATGCACGAGCAACACTGTCCCCAAGCATATTGTTCGAAGCCTTCAGATTTCTCTTTAGATTCATGACCACTTCATCAGGCAAGGTGTCTATATCATTAAAGGGTGTCTTGACAATATTGTTGTCGGCATCTAATATCACAGCTTCCCCCACATCATCCATTTGTACTTTCTGGAAAATGGCAAAGAAAATTTATTTCACCTCTTGGGAATGATAGTGTGCCTCCCTACCTGTATATAACATATATTAAGTATTGCACAGAGATATATATGCAATGAGTGAATTATCTACTATAGTTCTTAATGTACGGCACATACTGAATGAGGAAAACTTTTATTAACCCTTAAACTGTTCAAACGTAGATCTACGTCCACGTGCAGGGGCTCTGAACATAGACCTAGGTTTTTTTTTACATGCTTTCAAATGGGGAAAATCAAGGTCGGAGCGCTAAGCACGTGAACGTAGATCTACGTTTGAACAGTTTAAGGGTTAAAATTGACAAATGATACAAGGAAATTATATACTTCCTGACAATCTTTTCCTTCTTTACGCTGTCTACATTTTTATTTCAAACAAAGTCCCACATCCATTGCAATAGTTTGCCCTGTATTTTTTCTGTATTTTATAGTTTCTGTATCAGTCTTTCAGGGGAAAATATCAGAAGAAATTTTGAAAGGCACATACTGAAGAAGTAATCTGCCCATTAAATTTTATATTTTTGTCTCCCACCGAGGCAAAGTGACCTGAAAGAGTAACACTTTCACCAACACTCATACTATCACTATCTTGCCAGAGGCACACAGCAAATATCCCAAACCCCTCCTTAAGAGTTCAGCACTGTACTTCCCACTTCCTTCTTTTAACTCAACAGTTGTCTCCCACCCAGGCAGGGTGACCCAAGAAGAAAACTCATTCACTCAATTACTGTTTTCTCCAGAAGTGTGCTGACATCACAATCATATTAGTCCTGGACTGCAACATCCCCACCCCTCCTTCAGAGCATAGGCACAGCCCTTCCCACCTCCAGGACTCAAGTCTGACTAACTGCTCACACTCTAACAGTACATCCATTAAAAAACACTTGACTCCATGAACCCCTATTTAACATGTTCACACAAGCCTGCTGGATACTCAAGCCCCTAAAATTTAAAGCCTCTTATACCTCTTTCCCTGCAATTGTTCCTGGGACTCATCCCTATCCTTCCTTCTACCCTAGATTTATACACCCTCTTCATCTATCTATTCTATCTACCCATAATGGCTTTCATTATTACTATGTATGACATCAGTTATATATCTATATATGAGGATCCTAACTTGCATCATCCTATTTAATGGGAAGCACTAAGCCAACTGAGGTAATACAAATACAGTGCTAGGGAAATGGGAGGCAACCAGATTCAATCCAAGGAAAGGAGAGTACATAGTTCAAATTCTTTGGAACGAGTCTTTCACTTGTCTGTATGTTAGAACCCTTGAAGGGCCCTAACATACAAACAAGTTGCCTTCATGGTTTTTCAACTTACCAGCTATCTGTATGGAAAGTAATAGTACAAAAAACTGTGTTTAACACACTTGTAACATAGCTCAGTGGTTATGACATTAATTAGTTCGTAAATGACCCATCTGTAAGCAAGGATATATAACTTGGGGCTACTGGTAACTGAGGGGCTCCTATACCTCATACACTGTCTTACAAAACATTATCAAGTTAATTTTCTGTAACCTGCTCAATAAACCACAGGCCTCTGGACATTCCTCCACACTAACAAAACGTAAAATTCTTACCGACAAGAGTAGTGTGTTGACCCCAATGAGGAAAGGCATAGGGGCCAGAAGGTAATCTAGTAGATGCTGCGGCAGTACAGGTATATATATGTGCTGCCACTGCATAGGGTAAATAACAGAGTTGGCTGCCTGGACACAAGCAGAGAGCCGAGAGAGCCGTTTTGAGACTATAATAATTCTTCTCTCGTATAGCATTGATGCAAATATAATTATCATGTTGTTGGTATCCACGGCATTGTAGTATTCAGCCAGGTTCCGCTGAAATTATGATTTAACTTGTAATTCAAACAATATTCTTGTTCAACAGATCAATAGTTTTAAAGATCAATACTGCATAGTACTTTAATGTCATGATGTAATTTAGTTAAAAATAATTAGTTAAACATACAAATTTCTTATGAAAGTAATTAAAAATCTACAAATTGAAACAACTGTAATAATTAAAAATAAATAAAATCAATAATAGTAATAAAGATATCTATAATTTCTCTTATTCAAGGTCTTTACATGAACTACAGTGGTCCCTCGCTTTTCGTAGTTCTCGGGAATCATAGATTTCGGAAATCATAGGGATATTTTCATATAAACATGGGCTTGCTAATCATAGGTTGACTCGCGAACAGTAGTTTGTCCGGGACGCATACGCACGGTGTGAGCCGGGGCGGCCTCCCTACCCAGCCAGTCTGGCATTGTTTACCAGTGAGCAAAGGTCCCCTCACATGCTCCTACGAAATATTTCATAATATTCCACTCATTTTAGTGCTTGCAAGTACTAAATAAGCTACCATGGCTCCAAAGAAAGCTCCTAGTGCCAAGCCTGTGGTAAAGAAGGTGAGAAATACACCAAAGCAATGTTTCACAGGTGTTTGACTGTGACCACAGACACTCACTTGACCCTAAGGGAATTTTGGAGAGAACACTCCAGCATCCTCCATTGCATAACCCTTATAGGTATGGCCTGGGAGGGAGTGACTACCAGGACTTTGAACTCTGCTTGGAGAAAATTGTGGCCAGATTGTGTCGACAAGAGGGATTTTGAAGGGTTTGGGACTGACCCTGATGAGCCTATGTCTGTTGTTAAATCAATTGTGGCACTGGGGAGCTCCATGGGGTTGGATGTGAGTTTGGAGGATGTGGAAGAGTTGGTGGAAGACCACAACAAAGAGCTCACCACTGAGGAGCTGCAAGAGCTTCAGCAGGAACAGCAACAAATCGCAGCTCAGAATCTTGCTGCAGAGGAGGAGGAAGAGAGATGGAAGAAGGTGCCTTCTTCAGAAATTAAAGAGATTTTTGCTATGTGGGGTAAGATGGAAAGCTTTATGGAGAAACATCACCCAGACAAGGTTGTTGCAAGCCATGTTGGCAACATGTACAGTGACAAAGTCTTGGGCCATTTTAAGGAAGTGTTAAAGAGACGCCAGAAACAGCTCTCTGGACAGTTATTTTGCGAGACAGGACTCCAGTGACTCTCAAGGTGGTCCTAGTGGCATTAAGAAACAGAAAAGAGAAGCAACCCCAGAAAAGCAATTGGTACCTGAGGTGTTGCTGGAAGGGGATTCCCCTTCCAAACTGTAAACAATCCAATCTCTCTCCTCCTCCAGTCTCCCATACACTAAGAAGAATCTCCAATAAAGGTAAGTGTTATGCTGTTAATGTTTCATTCATCATTTCCCATTGTATTGTTTATGTACTACATCTATATTTCATGTAAAAAATTTTTTTGTTTTAATACTTCTGGGTGTCAGGAACAGATTAATTGTATTTACATTATTTCTTATGGGGAAAACTGATTCGCAAATAGTAGATTTCGATAATAGTAGCAACTCCAGGAACGGATTAACTACAAAAAACGAGGGACCACTGTATTCTAAATTTAAATACTGAAGCAATTTCAATTCAATTCAAGTTTACTCTCTATAAGGGTTACAATGTGGGGTTACACTAGGGTTTAGGATGATAATGGATATCTAAACCCTAATGCAAATGAAATATAATTACTTCTATTAGATTTGGAATAGTCTATGTAAAAACCTTGAATAATAATAGAAATTATAAATATCATTACTACTATTATTGATTACTATCACTGATTTTATCCCAGGATATTGTAGTGCCTTACAATACAAATTCATTAAATCCCTGACAATTTAAGAAACAAATATCTCCTACATCTTCAATCTTCTTTGTTCCCCTTACATCTCCCAACGACACTAGAGGACAGGAGGGATAGGGGAGACATGATAACAGCATACAAAATACTGCGCGGAATAGACAAGGTGGACAGAGACAAGATGTTCCAGAGAGGGGACACAGAAACAAAGGGTCACCCTTAGAAGCTGAAGACTCAGATGAGTCACATGGATGTTAGGAAGCGGTTCTTCAGTTTTAGAGTGGTCAGGAAGTGGAACAGTCTGGCGAGCGATCTAGTAGAGGCAGGTACCATACATAGCTTTAAGACGAGGTATGATAAAGCTCATGGAGCAGGGAGAGAGAGGACCTAGTAGCGTTCAGTGAAGAGGCGGGGCCAGGAGCCGAGTCTCGACCCCTGCAACTACAATTTGGCGAGTACGTACGTACGCACATGCACGCGCACACACACGCACACACACACACACACACACACTACCTCCTTCCCTTCTCTCTCTCTCTCTCTCTCTCTCCATCTCTTCTCCATTTTTCCATTCTCACTCTCCCCTCTCCTTCCCTCCTCTCTCTTTCCCCCTCTCACACTCTCTCTCCCCCTTTCCCTTCTCACTCTTCCCCTCTCTCTCTCCTTCTACCTTTCCCTTCTCTCTTCTCTCACAAAAAAAAAAAAAAAATGGTGGGGACTCGCAGGAACCAAGGATCAGATGAGAATGGTTCTGGTAGGGAGCAGTGGAAAAGGATGGAACAAGAGTGGGAGAGAAAATTAGGAGAGCTTTCTGAAAAAATGGAGAAAGAGCTCTCTGTGAAATTGGAAAAGAGGTTGGAGAAGGAGACAAAGAATTGGGAGGCCAAGTCGAAACTGCAGTAGCCCAAGATAAGGGTCCTAGAAGTGGATAAATGGCTTTAGCGAGTTAAGGGGCAGTGACCAGAGAAGACACAGCATATGAAGCTGCGGGGGCCAAACAGGAAGGAAGGAATTATGAATTTTTGCTAAGGTATATCAGCCCGCCAAGGAGGACCCAAAGGGGTGAAAGGGAAGAACAGCTGGTTGCAGATTTGGAGAGGGCGATAGGTCGAATGCTGAGGCACAACCATGCTATCAAGAGCCACTGGAAAAAACAAGGGAGAAACTGACCACATACAGGCAGGATCCAGAGTCCACAGGGGGGTGAGGCAATGGGAGGGGGAAAAGGGGCCCAAAATCAGTGTTTATCCTTTGGGCTTCAGGAGAGAGAGGAAAGGACACACACTGAAAAGGCAGCGGGAAGAAAGAAAGGAGATTGAGAAAATCATCACGGAAATAGGTGAAGAGATGGACGAGATTGTAAATTTTCAGAGAATAGGGGTACTCGAAGGGGAGAAACCGACCAATCAAGCTGATTCTCAGGACGGAAACAGTGTGGAAACAGGATCCTCCAAGAGAAACCACGATTGAAATACTCGGAAGAGTACAAGAGGGTGTTCCTAGACAGAGACAGAAAAAATCAGAACGACAGCAGCTGAGGGAAGGAAAAAAAAAGCGAAAGGAGCTAGGAAAAGAGACAAGGATGGAACCACAGAGGTCAGTCAGAGCAGAACAGAACAGCAAGGGCAAGCACACACAAAAACTATTCTCAGAACCATACAACCTATCACACCATCCAAACACACTACAATCCATACCCACAGCCTCCACCCAACACCGAGCTATAGAATCCCACGTATGCCACCGGGTCTCCCACCCTCACAGGCCCCCCCAAACCACAGTGTTGGAAAGGGAAAACTAAAGGGTAGGTACACAAACGCTGAGGGAATAAAATAACAAGTAAGTGGGAGGAGTGGCATGAAAGAGTCAAAGAAGCATCACCGGACATCATAGCTCTCACAGAAACCAAGCTTACAGGATGATAACAGATGCCATCTTTCCAACGGGACCCCCAAATCCTGAGGAAAGACAGAGGGAACGGGGGGGGTGGAGGAGTGGCATTGCTGATCAAAAATCGCTGGAATTTTGATGAGCTGGAGAGAGGAGACAGCGGAGAAGAAAGTGATTACATAGCGGGAACGTTTTCACTCTGGAGGTCCCAAGGTGGTAATAGCAGTGATGTATAACCCACCACAGAACAAGCAGGAGGCCAAGGAAAGAGTACGACGAGAGCAATAAGCGATGGTTGACACATGGCTAGAGTGGCCAGAAGAGCTCATGCATGCAGGGCAAAGCTCCTGATCATGGGTGACTTTAACCACAAGAGATCGATTTTGGAGAACTTGGCCCACATGGGGGCCAAGATACATGGAGGGCTAAAATGATGGAGGTGGTACTGGAAAACTTTATGTGCCAACACGTAAGGGACACTACAAGAGAGAGAGGAGAGGATGAACCAGCAAGGCTGGACTTAGTTATTCACCCTTTAGTAGTGCAGATATTGAAGGACATCACATATGAAAGACCCCTTGGGGCCAGTGACCATGTGGTTTTAAGCTTCGAATACACAGTAGAGCGACAAGTGGAGGGAGAAGCAGGAAGGCCAGGACGAATGAAGCCAAACTACAAGAAAGGGGACTACACAGGAATGAGGAACTTCCTGAACAGGGTTCAGTGGGACAGAGAACTGGCAGGGAACCCAGTTAATGAGATGATGGAATATGTAGCAACAAAATGCAAGGAGGCTGAGGAGAGGTTTGTACCCAAGGGTAACAGGAATAATGAAAAAGCCAGGATGAGCCCATGGTTTACCCAAAGGTGCAGGGAGGCAAAAACCAAGTGTGCTAGGGAATGGAAGAAATATAGAAGGCAAAGGACCCAGGAGAATAAGGAGAGCAGTCGTAGAGCCAGAAACGAATATGCACAGATAAGAAGGGAGGCCCAAAGACAATATGAAAACGACATAGCAGCGAAAGCCAAATCTGACCCGAAACTGTTGTACAGCCACATCAGGAGGAAAACAACAGTCAAGGACCAGGCAATCAGGCTAAGGAAGGAAGGAGGAGAGACAACAAGAAATGACCATGAAGTATGTGAGGAACTCAACAAGAGATTCAAAGAAGTGTTCACAGAGGAGACAGAAGGGGCTCCAGAAAGGCGGAGAGGTGGAGCACACCACCATGTGCTGGACACAGTGCACACAACCGAGGAAGAAGTGAAGAGGCTTCTGAGTGAGCTAGATACCTCAAAGGCAATGGGGCCAGATAACATCTCCCCATGGGTATTGAGAGAGGGAGCAGAGGCACTTTGTGTACCCCTAACAACAATATTCAATACATCTATCGAAACAGGGAGATTGCCTAAGGCATGGAAGACAGCAAATGTAGTCCCAATCTTTAAAAAAGGAGACAGACATGAAGCATTAAACTACAGACCAGTGTCACTGACATGTATAGTATGCAAAATCATGGAGAAGATTATCAGGAGAAGAGTGGTGGAACACCTAGAAAGGAACGATCTCATCAACAGCAGCCAACATGGTTTCAGGGACGGGAAATCCTGTGTCACAAAACTACTGGAGTTCTATGACATGGTGACAGCAGTAAGACAAGAGAGAGAGGGGTGGGTTGATTGCATTTTCTTGGACTGCAAGAAGGCGTTTGACACAGTTCCACACAAGAGATTGGTGCAAAAACTGGAGGACCAAGCAGGGATAACAGGGAAGGCACTACAATGGATCAGGGAATACTTGTCAGGAAGACAGCAGCGAGTCATGGTACGTGGCGAGGTGTCAGAGTGGGCACCTGTGACCAGCGGGGGTCCCACAGGGGTCTAGTCCTAGGACCAGTGCTGTTTCTGGTATTTGTGAACGACATGACGGAAGGAATAGACTCTGAGGTGTCCCAGTTTGCAGATGACGTGAAGTTGATGAGAAGAATTCACTCGATCGAAGACCAGGCAGAACTACAAAGGGATCTGGACAGGCTGCAGACCTGGTCCAGCAATTGGCTCCTGGAGTTCAATCCCACCAAGTGCAAAGTCATGAAGATTGGGGAAGGGCAAAGAAGACCGCAGACGGAGTACAGTCTAGGGGGCCAGAGACTACAAACCTCACTCAAGGAAAAAGATCTTGGGGTGAGTATAACACCAGGCACATCTCCTGAAGCGCACATCAACCAAATAACTGCTGCAGCATATGGGCGCCTAGCAAACCTCAGAACAGCATTCCAACATCTAATAAGGAATCATTCAGGACCCTGTACACCGTGTACGTTAGGCCCATATTGGAGTATGCGGCACCAGTTTGGAACCCACACCTAGCCAAGCACGTAAAGAAACTAGAGAAAGTGCAAAGGTTTGCAACAAGACTAGTCCCAGAGCTAAGAGGTATGTCCTACGAGGAGAGGTTAAGGGAAATCAACCTGACGACACTGGAGGACAGGAGAGATAGGGGGGACATGATAACGACATACAAAATACTGAGAGGAATTGACAAGGTGGACAAAGACAGGATGTTCAGAGATTGGACACAGTAACAAGGGGACACAGTTGGAAGTTGAAGACACAGATGAATCACAGGGATGTTAGGAAGTATTTCTTCAGCCACAGAGTAGTCAGTAAGTGGAATAGTTTGGGAAGCGATGTAGTGGAGGCAGGATCCATACATAGCTTTAAGCAGAGGTATGATAAAGCTCACGGCTCAGGGAGAGTGACCTAGTAGCGATCAGTGAAGTGGGGCCAGGAGCTCGGACTCGACCCCCGCAACCTCAACTAGGTGAGTACAACTAGGCGAGTACACACACACACGCACACACACACACGCACACACACACACACACACGCACACACACACGCACACACACATGCACACACACACACACACACACACACACACACACACACACACACACACACACACACACACACCTTAAGCTTGTAAATGATTTTACTATGTTGCACTCAGCAATACAATAATCCATCTTGTACTTTTGAACTGGCCTACAACTTCAATACCTTAATATGCTAATACCTTCATTAAAAAACAGAAATGGTTTAATAAAAAATAACGAGTAGACATGACTTACATTTTCTGGGATGGTTGGTAGTTTTAGATGGTTGGGACACTGAGCTACAAAGAACTGTAAGGCAGAGCATAAAGGAGTTAATATCTAGCCACAAATACTGACACATGTTACTTAGTGCACCATCACTGTCAATAATTATGAAGGGAAAAATGCATATCAATATATATAGTATAAGATAATAAGAATGTTGAGAGAGAGATTACAAATGAGGCACAGAACAAGTTAGGTCAGACCATTAATAAGCATGTTATCCTCAACCAATTATTCAGTGATATACTGTACATCAAATAAGGACGTCTAGGAATACAGAGGGTAGAAGATATAGATATGCATATGAGAGCAGAAATGCAGTCCATTAAACCAATTCGTTTTACTTACTTTCTGTACATATACAAGCAGGGAAACATACCATCTCAACTTTACAAAAAAAAAAATTAATGAAAACAGACTTGAGCTTAAAGCTCAAATCTGTGGTCACTGTTGCTATCTACCACCCACTGATTTTGTCATTGATGCAATTCAAGTCTTTCCTTTTAAGCAAATTTAACAAGAAAATTAATCATGATAGATTTTTATTGCCATGACAACACTTATATTCACACTTTTATCATATAAGAAATATAAACATAAACATAAGATAACTATTGGTGAACAAAAATTAATAACTTACCAAAAATATACTGAAGCTTATGATTAACATACTCATGACTCAATCACCTATGCAGATTAATGTCAAATTCGAACATCTATACAGAACAAGGCCAGACTCAAGCACCTATACAATATAAGTCAAACACAAATACACGTGCATTATATGATCAAACTCAAACACCTACACAGTTAAGTTCTGCAAATACTACAGACCTCTGTACCTAAATACTGATATATTGTTGTAAATGTATTTTTAAGAACCATTTCCTTGTGATACACTTAAGAAAATATCAGGGAATTACTATTTTCCCAGACTTACTTTGCTTTCCCCATAAGGTATAGTAATATCTGAACCTGGAGGAGGAACTGGGAACTTGTAAATGTTCTGGAGACATGAGGCCATATCGCTGGTCTTGTCTGAACTCATCATTTCGGAGAGATGATTTAGAAGTCTGTAAATAATACACAAACACATAGTTTAACAACAATAAACAGTATATGTAACTTAAAAAATGCTTAACTGATAGCTGAATGAATTAACACTTAAATTACTAAAGTCAATCCTCAGAACTGAGGTAAGAAACTTATTATATACCTTTTTTTTTTAACACACTGGCCATCTCCCACCGAGGCAGGGCGACTCAAAAAAGAAACACTTTCACCATCATTCACACTATCATTGTCTTGCTAGAGGGAAGCAGATACAACAGTTCAGATGTCACTCTAAACAGCAAATATCCCAAACTACTCCTTTAGAGTGCAGGCATTGTACTTCCCACCTCCAGGACTTAATTAAGTCTAGCTAACTGGTTTCCCTGAATCCCTTCACAAAATATTACCTTGCTCACATTTCAACAGCCTATCAGGTCCCAAAAACCATTTGTCTCTACTCACTCCTATCTAACATGCTCATACATGTCTGCTTATGTCCAAGCCCCTTGCACACAAAACCACTTTTGCCCCCTCCCTCTCTCCATCCTTTCCTAGAATGACCCCTACACTGCCTTACTTGTAGAATGTTTCGTGCCAAGGCAGGTGAGAGAGTATCACAAGAGCTGTTTCTGCTCCTGGAGCATGGCGACAGAATCCATATGTCCATTTTGAGTCCAGGCTTGTTAGAACAAAGGAGAAATGTTGGACAGTTAAGCTGTGGGAAAAAAAAATACATTAGAAAAAGGCAAATGATTAAATTCTGCAAAAGACCTAGTTTCAGAAATTTCCAGTACTATCAGGTTTTTCCATCATTTAATCTCCCCTCAGAAAACATTCTGAACTTATCTGAAAGATGCTGTATCTAGTGGCTTTAACAGTTGCTAAATCTAGTAGCCCTTGCAGATGACTTGCTATGGCCCTGAATGGAAGTGGGGGGAGGAGGGGGTAAAAATGTGAATGGTTTGGTAATAGAGTTGCGGATGAGTGGAACAAACTCCCGAGTACCATCATAGACGCTAAGACATTGTGTAATTTTAAAAATAGGTTGGATAAATACATGAGTGGGTGTGGGTGGATGTGAGTTAGACCTGACTAGCTTGGGCTACCAGGTCTGGTGCTGTGCTCCTTCCTAAAGTGGAAGTGACCTGACTAGGTGGTCATTGTTCTAGGCTGGGGGTGGCATGGACCTGCTTCGCATGGGTCAGTAGGCCTGTTGCATTGTTCCTTCTTTCTTATGCTCTTATCTTTCTGGTTTTGGGTTTAGGTTTGTCTTAAAATTCAACACTTTTTTCTTCAACAACTTGAGCAGGTCAACTGTTTCAGAAATTTGCAAATCTTGAGAGAAAACCTAATGTGCTTCTTACTGTCTTTATTGCATGATGACTTGATAAGTTAAATTGTGGCCTAGCTTACGTAACAAAATATTTATGTTCAGAGAGAGAGAGAGAGAGAGAGAAAGGTTTACTGTCTCAATACCTGTGCATCAGCATGTTTCGTGAATTTGCCTTAGTTGAAAGAACTGTACATGCTCTTCTTGGAAGAACCCTTACAATTATTCCCTTTATTAATGATCCTCAACTACTGTTAAACATTTATAGATTTTCCCTGAGGTTCAATTTCAGTGGGATACCCTGTGCACCTGAGATATCTATTCACTTAATGCCTAAAAGTATTAATAAATATAGGTGACATACTGTACTACTAATACTACCAACTTGGATACAAAGATAATTATTTAAACAAAACGTGTGTGAAAATTTTTCTGATGCAATCTACTTCACTTTGAATAGTACAATTTTTGTCACATATTACACAAAACTTACATATTAATTAAAAAATAAACACTACTTCAAGAATATACTTAATTCTAAAATTACTATTCATTTAAATTGCACGAGTTTACCGAAATATCCACTCTGCTTCACCTTATAATTACATACGACTATTTATTTTCCTAGGTAGTAGGTTGGTAGACAGCAGCCACCCAGGGAGGTACTACCATCCTACCAAGTGAGTGTAAAACAAAAGCCTGTAATTGTTTTACATGATGGTACGATTGTTGGTGTCTATTTTTCTGTCTCTCAAACATTGCTACTTCTACTTACACTTAGGTCACACTACACATACATGTACAAGCATATATATACACACACCCCTCTGGGTTTTCTGCTATTTTCTTTCTAGCTCTTGTTCTTGTTTATTTCCTCTTATCTCCATGGGGAAGTGGAACATAATTCTTCCTCCATAAGCCATGCGTGTTGTAAGAGGCGAATAAAATGCCGGGAGCAAGGGGCTAGTAACCCCTTCTCCTGTATAAATTACTAAATTTAAAAAGAGAAACTTTTGTTATTCTTTTTGGGCCACCCTGCTTCGGTGGGATACGGCCGGTTTGTTGAAAGAAGAAAAGACTATTTATTTTAGTCAGGGGCAGGTGCTAAACTGTTTGGGGTCACATAGTGTCTAGGGAAGGGAAGGTATTCAGGTTCAATCCAAGAGAGGGAAGCATAAGTACACTACTGACATCCCAGTAAATCATGATGTGGGATGCTGGGCCCAGTGGGCATTAGCCAGTGGAACCTTGTGACATGAAAGCGGACATATAAGGCTTCTTAGTACATGGGATATACTGTAATTTGCCCTGAACATTGCTCACCTGAATACAATAAATGGGTAATAACTATTAATGAGCTTACCTACTGGATATAGGAAAACTTAAATGATTAGTTAAACCCAGGAATAAGTCTTTAATGAATTGGTGTATAATTATCTTACAGGAGAACACCATGATAAAGCTACCAACAATTCTTCCTGTTCATCAACTAAAATGAAAACAGGTGTCACTGCTTAAACATGCCAAAGTCTTCAGTATGTACCAGGTATGACAACTGGGGAAGTTGTGCACAAAAGTTTTTTAACTGACTTATGTGCAAGTGGCATTAGGTTGTGCTCTATTACCATCAAAAACATAGGTTATACAACTCTATTGTACAGTGGTACCCCGAGTTTCGTACAGCTCCCAACTCAAACAATTATGTAAGTGTATTACTGTAAGTGCTTTTGTAAGTATATTTTTGGGGGTCTGAAATGGACTAATATAATTTACATTTTTCCTTATGGGAACAAATTTGTTCGGTAACGGCACTCAAACAGCCTTCTGGAACAAATTATGGTCGAAACTCGGGGTACAACTGCATTTATTTAAAACTGCAGTAATATATATAAAATACTGTGGTAATTCCCAGATCTTTCAAAGCTAAGTATGTAGACTAATCCTCCCCTGTCTTTGTAAAATTATACAGGCCAAACATATTTGTCAATAACTTTAAGTTATGCATAATTTATTGATCTTTGAGGATACTTATAATGATATCTCAATTAAAATAATGACTCAACGATATTTGGCATTTGAATACAGGAGGCATATGACACTGAAGGCAGGAGGGGGGTCAATGACCTTTACCCCCTCAAAGTCCTACATGATGAGTCATTAACCCTTTGACTGTTTCAGGCCCCTTTCTGAAACTGTCATTCTATGTTGCTAAATTTTTGAAAAAAAAAAAAAAATTATTTTTTCTTATGAAATGATAGAGAATCTTTTCCCGATGGTAATGACACCAAAAGTTTGAAATTTGGTCGAAAACTCATGGAATTACGCTCCCGCGAAGTTAGCGGTCTCGGCGACATATGCGTATCGGCGATTTCGCCAACTTTGAGCCCTATTTTCACCCAATTCCATTGTTCCAGTTGACCAAACTCATATCTATTTCTTTAGAACTCCATTTTATCTATCAGCTGAGTACAAGAAACCTCCCATTTACCAATTTGGACTACCCAATATTGTGGTCAGAAAATGGCAATTTGGCCAATTTCATGCAAACTAAAAAAGATGCCAATTTCAAAATAGGGTCCAGAATAAACAAGGTAGACATTCTTGGCACTAAAATAACATATCCTCTGTTCATTAGTCACATCTCTAGGCCCCTCTTATATTATTATTGCTTTCTATTTTGATTTTTTATTCATACAAAAAAATACAAAATTTACTGTTATGCAGACTACTGCATTATTGTAAAAATGGTATAAATAATATCAGTGCACTAGTGAAAGAATATTAGACTCCCCAGTTGACGTGTATTGGATGTGTGGTGTGATTTGTTTACTCCTGAACATTGGTAAAAATCGAACATTTCCACTGCTTTGAGCTCAGTTTAAAGGTCGTTTTCATCGACAAAGTAATGAAAATCATCTCTATTTCTGTAATATGTTTTCCATTTTATCACCTAAGACCATGAAAACGCAAATACATTGATAAATACTATACGAAAATACACCTCAAAGTCGGCGTTTTAATCCAAAAAAACGATCAGTTTTTTTTTTTCTCATTACGCACTGTGTGCTGCAGGATTTTTTTTTATGTGGTGCACACTGACCACACAGACCCATTCTCTCACATGTGGGCCTACCAGCTTTCTTCCGCTTGATTTGAAGCCGCTAGAATTATTGAGTATATATACGTCAGAAACACTGGCTCGTAAGACGTATATATACGACCAAAACAGTCAAAGGGTTAAGTAAAAGAGTATAACGACACCTTATGTGACATGCTAGATTTTCAAGAGATAGGCAAAATATCCTACATCCATACTGCCCAATAAAGCACAATGTACCTGGCGCTAAAAAGAAAGATATTAAGCTTATATCAATTCACAACACAACTCTCAAATATGTCATTAGGCATCTCACAACTGAATGCAGGTACTACCCTGACCAGTTTGGGACTATAGTAACAATTCATTCATAATACAAAACATAAGATGAGGAGGACAGCAAGGATGAACTCAACATCTGAACTTCCAAAAACAATGCCTTACAACACTATGCAAATAAAAAATGAAAATATTGCTGAAGGCATTTTTTTTTTATCATAGTTACTGAAAATGTTGAGTTTATCTTTGCTATACAGTCTCTCCTCACTTAACAATGGAGTTCCGTTCCTAAGACTACATCGGTGAACGAATTCATTGCTAAGTGAGGAGCATACTATAATAGTAGCGGGTTTGTGTCAACCATCTTTCATGTTGTTTTAATGTTACCTTTGCATCATTTATAACATTTATGGTATATTTTTAACCCTTTGACTGTTTCAGGCCCCTTTCTGAAACTGTCATTCTATGTCGCCAAATATTCGAAAAAAAAATTATTTTTTCTTATGAAATGATAGAGAATCTTTTCCCGATGGTAATGACACAAAAAGTTCGAAATTTGGTCGAAAATTCATGGAATTACGCTCCCGCGAAGTTAGCGGAATCGGCGACATGTGTATCGGCGATTTCGCCGACTTTGAGCCCTGTTTTCAGCCAATTTCGTTGTTCCAGTTGACCAAACTCATAGCTATTTCCTTAGAACTCCATTTTATCTATCAGCTGAGTACAAGAAACTGCCCATTTACCAATTTGAACTACCCAATATAGTGGTCAGAAATTGGCAATTTGGCCATTTTCACGCAAATTAAAAAAGATGCCAATTTCAAAATAGGGTCCAGAATAAACAAGGTAGACATTCTTGGCACTAAAATAGCATATCCTCTGTTCATTAGTCACATCTCTAGGCCCCTCTTATATTATTATTGCTTTCTATTTTGATTTTTTATTCATACAAAAAAATACAAAATTTACTGTTATGCAGACTACTGCATTATTGTAAAAATGGTATAAATAATATCAGTGCACTAGTGAAAGAATATTAGACTCCCCAGGTGACGTGTATTGGACGTGTGGTGTGATTTGTTTACTCCTGAACAATGGTAAAAATCGAACATATCCACTAGTTTGAGCTCAGTTTCAAGGTCGTTTTCATCGTCAAAGTAATGAAAATCATCTCTATTTCTGTAATATGTTTTCCATTTTATCACCTAAGACCATGAAAACGTGAATACAACGATAAATACTATACGAAAATACACCTCAAAGTCGGCGTTTTATTCCAAAAAAACGATCAGTTTTTTTTCTCATTACGCAATGTGTGCTGCAGGATTTTTTTATGTGGTGCACACTGATCACACAGACCCATTCTCTCACATGTGGGCCTACCAGCTTTCTCCCGCTTGATTTGAAGCCACTAGAATTATTGAGTATATATAAGTCAGAAACATTGGCTCGTAAGATGTATTTATACGTCGAAAACAGTCAAAGGGTTAAATCTTTATACAGTAGTGTACTGTATATTGTAATAAATAGACTAGAGGAAATCAGCTCTAATATACATCATTTAGGTATGCATACTGGTCAGAGATCCCATCACAAGTCCGAGTCATCAGTAAACGAGTGCGTCACTAAGTGAGGAAAGGGTGTACACAACACCTCATGCACACCATAAGAGCCCATACATATAATATGATATAGTATTTGTATGCTAAACAGAGTAAATAAATTAAATATTATTTGTAACCTGAGGGGCATAAACCTCAAAAACCCACCTCTCAAAAGAACATGGGAAGGCAAACTGGGGAACACACTTAAGAATTTCTTCATTGTTGTAACTGTTGGGGAACTTCTGAATAATCCATGCTGGCCGATCTCTTCCTTTGGGACCGACCACCTCACACCAGCACTCTAGGAGTCGTCTTGGGTTCTCTCTACCAGAAAATATTTCTAAATTCAATTTTTGTGACCAAACAAAATGGGCCCCATGTACCATATAACAAAGATAAACAAAATTCAGGAATAAAAAACTAGACACAATACTATGCTTTACATATTCAATAAATTCAAATTTGACGACCACTCTCACATGTGAAATACGAACGTATATGACAAAGATTGAAATAAAATTGTTTATCTATACTGTAATTATGTAAAGCTGTGAGTTTTCCTTTCGATGGTGGAATGCAAAATCCTGTTCCTAACACTTCACTCTTTTGCTTATTGCTGAAATACTGTCAACAGCCAAAATATGACAGTAACATTTAAGGTCTATTGACTACAAGTGTGTTATAAAGGCTGAGACTCGCCAGGGCACTAACTCCCACAATTCTTTACCTTAAACAATAATTAATGTAAACAATCAAAGTACAGTATATGCACAGAAATATATGCCTCTTTATGTAATGTATATACCCTGTCTGAAACATTTGAAGAGACACAATAAATGCATCTGCCATGATAGATCACCCATCTTTACCAAACTGAGAAATGTTTCTTCCCTTCCAACTACTGAAGACAATCTTCCTCGGGTGTCAATACGTATATTGTGTGGTGCTCCATAGCAGCACAAAGTGGTTGCACACTAGTCTCAGCTGAGAGAAATTAAATTTATTTAGGTACGGATACACATAAGTACAGTTATCATACATAGTGCAAATCACCTAGGATAACAAAAAAAAATTCAGCCCGTGACTTTCATTTCTACTGGGGTCCTTCAAGAATCTCATAAGGACCACAATGAGAATAAACAACAATACTTGATTTTCCTGGGTTATCCTAGGTTAGTAATCCTGTAAGGTCACTAATCCTCATATCAGACCTAAAATTAACCCCGCCCTTACCATTCCTCCAAGCACTTTATAACCCTTTTGTGTTTAGCGCTTGCCTACAAATATATTAATCGATTTCTAAGCTCTGTATCCGTGATGGATTTCATGGACTGATGTCAGTTTCAAATGGACAAAAGAACTCTTACCCCTGATACTCAAAATATTCATCTGATGTTTATGTTAAGGTAAATTTCTACATATGATACATAACTGTTAAGTTCCAAAGACCTCAAAGGGAATAAGTCACTTGACTTACTTGGGTTAATCAAGGTAATTTACACGTATGTTACCATGTATGTTAATTGTACTTATGTATATCTGTACCTAAATAAACTTATTAAGCAAATCACAGGAATATAGAATTGTTTTGATTGTCAAATGCTTCAAACATCTCCCATGTTAGTATCAACCTGTCTTACACTTAGTACTAATGTCACAACTCAAGTGTAACTTCCTTCCCTACACCTGTTAGAAACACTTCCTAAATGAACGTTTTCCCACACAAGGAAAAGAAAAAAATAAAGCAAAAAAAAAAAACGAAAAAAGTCAAACGTCAAAAATCTGGAGGGGTCAATCAACGCCCAAATTTCCCTAAATTCCTGGGTTATTTGAGCCCTGAGGCGGCCCCACCGACCCCCAGGGTCCTCCACCACCAGCTATAAAGCTCCTGACATTACAGTAAGCTTACTTGCCTCAGCCTAGAACCCATAATTGAAGAAAATAGGCGGTGTCCCACTTCATGGCCGCCAGATGTCTCCGCCTTATTTATCTGGCGAGTTGCTCTCACCGCGCCCCTAACACATGATATTCTCACCAACCTTTTATTTTTTCTATTACATTCCTTTTGCATAAATTGGATAGCCAATTTAAAACGTCAAAATTTAATTTATTTATTTATTTGCTTGTATTTCTACACGAAGGTTTGTATTTGTAATTTGGCAGATATATACTGGCTATACTTGTCCTTCCTGTGTTCTCTACAGGTTTCTCACTGTATAGTCCTTGTGGCTTAGCGCTTCTTTTTGATTATAATAATAATCTACAGGTTTCTTAAGATTTTGTTGGGACTTTTAGCCCCAGAGAGTCAGCCGCACAGGATAACCCAAGAAAGTCAGTGCGTCATCGAGGTCTGTCTGTCTTATTTCCATTGTGGTCCTTAATCTTGTCCTCCAAGATGCCACCCATACCAATCCACTAACGGAGAAATAATAGTAATATTAATAACAATAACAATAATAATAATAAGAACAATAATAATAATAATAATAACAATAATAATAATAATAATATCTTTATTTCTACAAGTACATGTACAAGGTATACAGACCATAGCTGACATTAATGACACTACTACATAGAAAGCTGCTTGTTATGCACAGCATTTCGGGCAAATTAGGTCAGTTTTGTCCCAGGATGCGACCCACACCAGTCCGCTAACACCCAGGTACCCATTTTTCTAATGGGGTGTAAAGAAACGCGCCCAATCTTTCTACCCTCGCTGGGAATCGAACCCAGACGTCACCGTATGAAGCGAGAGTTTTAGCCACCAGGTCACAGAGCACAAAATAGCATGAAGATACCAACAAGATGTGGAAAAGGACACTTATATACAGTTCAGGATATTTATTAAAGGAAGCAGTCACTCGTGGCGAAACATTGGTTTTAATAAATGTCAAGAAGTGTATATAAGTGTCTTTTTCCACAGTCTACTAACACCCAGGTACCTACTTGCTGCTAGGCGGACAGGGACAGTAGGTGTAAGGTGAGTAACACCCAGGTACCTACTTCCTGCTAGGTGGACAGGGACAGTAGGTGTAAGGTGAGTAACACCCAGGTACCTACTGACTGCTAGGTGGACAGGGACAGTAGGTGTAAGGTGAGTAACACCCAGGTACCTACTGACTGCTAGTTAGACAGGGACAACAGGTATAAGGTGACCAACACCCAGGTACCTACTGACTGCTAGGTGAACAGGGATAGCAGGTGTAGGGTGGCTAACACCCAGGTACCTACTTGCTGCTAGGTGGACAGGGACATCAGGTGCAAGGAAACATGCCCATCGTTTACACGTGCCTGGGATTGAAACCCGACACGTGTGAGACGAGGGGGTTACCAGCCGACGAATCCCATACTACTGCTTTAGTAGCAAGCTCTAGCTCAAGTTCCCTCAAAAGCGTGACCATTGATTCGCGAAAACATCGATAATAGTTTTAGTCACTTGAGCTAGGTTTTAACACAACCTATTTGATGCGACATTCATCCGTGAAGACCTGTATTACTTGCCACGGTGGAGCCCTTACTGTGCTTTTTATTATACAGAAATATATCAGGTTGGAAGACTCATATTAGGCTAGCATAATACAGTGGTTAGAGCCCTGACCTCCAAGATTAAGGGCTGGTTTGCCATGGGTTCGAATCCTGCCATTTCTGTGGATTGCTTACAATTGCCTTCTATAGTTTACTACTACTACTCGGCGGAACGCAGACCATTAGTTTACATTTTTCAATACATACAGCCCATGTACACCACGAAATAAATATTGTTTTACAAATCGTTATTTCGGGAGATATTAGCAGACATAGAGAATGTATTTTGGTTACGCAGGATATCTAAGCCTGGTACACTAAGAAAAAACACCATAAGTGTCCGGGGCACAAGACTGTTCAACAGCCTCCCACCAAGCGTAAGGGAAATTACCAATAAACCCCTGGCTGCCTTCAAGAGAGAGCTGGACAGATACCTAAAGTTGGTGCCGGATCAGCCGGGCTGTGGTTCGTACGTTGGACTACGTGCGGCCAGCAGTAACAGCCTCGTTGATCATGCCCTGATCCACCAGGAGGCCTGGTCGTGGACCGGGCCGCGGGGGCGTTGATTCCCAGAATACCCTATAGGTATGTAATACAGTGACATGGAGACAATGAAACTGTAGAGTGGTAACTGTATATTGCAATCTTTACCTGAGGCCCTCTTCAGTAGACAAGGTACAAACAAAGATGCTTTATTCGTCTGGCATATCACCTAATACCTGTCTTTCATAATTGAGAACATTTCTTTGTCATCATTACAGTAAGGTGGAGAGAGCGAGAGAGAGAGAGAGAGAGAGAGAGAGAGAGAGAGAGAGAGAGAGAGAGAGAGAGAGAGAGAGAGAGAGAGAGAGAGAGAGAGAGAGAGAGAGAGAGAGGGTGATGCAGACATGGGGGTGGTTGAGGGCACTATACCTGCCCCAGGAACCAGCCACCAGTTGGTACAAACGGTGGTACACCTACACTTCCTCCTCCACACATTCTTGATGAGTGGCTCCTCAAGAGACATTCCTTGATGCCGGTGAGGGGCTCTTGGTTGAGGATGTCCCCTTCCTTGGGTGGGAACCCATTAACTCCGCGAATAAAATTACCTCTTGGTTGCAATATACGGTCTCATGAGCATTTAATATTTGTAGGTACGAATTAAGAATTAAGTTAGTTTATTTAGGTGCAGGTACGCATTAATAGTTACACAAATTATGATAGTAACATAGTAATTACTTAGGATAACCCAATAAGAAGTCAGACAAAGTGACTTATTCCAGGTCATTGTAATAGTTAGTTTAATATCTTTATTATGCACCCCATACCCATCCTGTGGGCGGTAGTCAAAAGATTACAAAGGTACATAATGGGTCTAGGGACTGGACCCCAGATCATTGTAATATATAACTAATTTGTTGTAGATGATTATAAATCACAAGAGACTGTGAAATAGTCCTAGTATTGCTATTGTTTAGACAACTTGGTGGTGAATGGTGTGGGAAGGTGCCCAGAAAGCCGCTCCCAGAACCCCATTCACGCCCCATCCGGTGTACTCAACCCGCAACGCGTTCTTTAAAAAAGAACCAAGGCAGGGGTTGTGACGTCATGGATGTCTTGGGGTCGGCTATTGGTTGATCCGACTCATTGACGTCAATGCTATTCCACGCTCTTATTAGCTGATCCTCATTTCAACTTGCGGTTATACGTCACAGGGGCTCCCGAGGCCGGCTATTGGTTGAAGTGGGACGGGTGACGTCACGGACACTTCAGGTTCTGATTGGCTGACCCGCATTTCAAGTTGTGTTTACACCTGAGTGAGAGCAGCAGCAGGTGCACCATGTGAAGCCTCTGACAGCAACCTTTGTGCCATTTGTCTCCTGGAGGCTTCACTCTGAGGCGCAGCCGATCTTGTGCTCACCCGAGGCAACACTTGAAGCCTGGACACACATAGAATGTAAAGCTGTGTAGGTAAACACTTAGTAAAGGATCGAATTTAACTTAATTGACCTTTTGACAGGCCACTCACTTGCTTTCTTTTGACCTCTTTACAGTACTACAGGTGTTAGAATCCTAGTAAGGACTTGATAATAGTCGTTGAAGTACCGAAATCTCGTCCAGTTTGCATTTCCCTTTCGTGGTGAATAATGCTGGTATATTCCCATTGTATAATAACAAGGACCCCAATGGAAATGCCACTTTATCTGACTTTTTTGGGTCATTCTAGGTAATCTACACATGTAATTGTATTTATGTGCACCTGTTCCTGAATAACCTTGCAGACCCCAATGGAAATACGTCTTTTTGGGGGTTATCCTAGGTAATTTACACATGTTACGATGTATGATCTTGTACTTAGTGTACTTGTACCTAATTAAACTTAACATTTTTTTCAACAGACAAGAGGTACCTTCATGATGACAGCAACACAGACAAACACTGGCTTGACTGCTCTGGATGGCTTGCCCAAGCCATTCGTGAATGCCATGAGAACATTATTTGACATTATGGATGACCAGCGCACTGGTTATGTTAAGTTCTCAGGTGAGAGGTTTTGATTGCTGAAATATGAAAACCTTTGAAGTTGCCATATTTTGGAATCACTTCATGAAAATTCAGCAGTCTCCATGAATGGTGCATTATATTGTATATAGTCTTATTAAATATCATTGTTCAATTCAAGTTAAATAAATAAAATATATTTTAATAATTCTCAAATATTTCTGTGCATGATTTCAAGTTTTCTTGTACTGTATATTGCAAGAAAAAATGTTGAGAAATATTAAACTAGCTATTATTTATAACAAATCCACCCCTCATGTAGAAAATGCCACAATATTTGTATGTATGATATGTAAACTCAATATTATATTGTAAAAAAAAAAATGGGTTTCAGATCCTTCAGGTCTCCATCCATAAATCCGTAGGAGACAGCTGGTGTATTTAAAAATTTACCAATATTCTGTCAACTAAATGCATAAAAATTTGGCAATAACACAGTGCAGTATTTATCATTGAAAACTGTTAAAGGGTATTGAAGTGATTAAGAGTCTAAATTGTGTCAGGTGGTGGCTTCAGCTGAGGAATACTGTATAAATATTTAGACATTTTACTCTAGTAAGCAGATGGTGGCATCTAATGGACTGAAACTGCACCTTTTAGCTAAAACTCTGAGACATTGTAGTAGTTCAGAAAGTTTTCTGGGGTAAGAGAGATCACAATTTCTATGACTAGGCAGATACATCCCTCAGTTGGTTATCACTACTATGAAGTGAAAGGGATTTATCATAATTATACAGTGAGTGGAGGCAGGTGATTTTTATGACAATGTACCTTTGGAGTGAGAGCAAGGTAACATTTATGAAGGGATTTGGGAAAACCATTTAGCCAGATTTGAGTCCTTGAGGTGGGAAGAACAGTCTGTTGCTCTCTGAAGAAGGGGTGGGGATATTTGCAGTGTTGAACTGTAGTATTGGATTGCCTCTCACAAGACAGTGGAGTGAGTGATGATGTTTCTTCTTGATGGGTCACCCTACCTTGGTGGGAGATGGCCCGTGTGTTAAAAAAAAAAATATGTAGTGTGGTTATGTACTGTAGTATAATATACTTTATAGTATATCAAATACAGAAATTGAGCGGCGTTGGCAAGATGATGGAGCCCAAGGAATGCCTCGTGGGGTGCTGGCAAGTCTCCGTAAAGTCACTCCGCCTGATGGTTACCTCTCCTTTGAGCGTTTCTGTGCTGGATTACAGGTGAGAATTGCTTGGACATTTGAATGTCACACAAGGAAGCCTTTATTTGGCCAAGGTACAAAGAGGCTGAATTTTTTTCCATGCTTTATTTTGAAATGTATACATCACACGCTTACTTTTATAATATAGAGAGCAATATGCTGTTGCTGATGATAATGCTCCCACTCAGGTTAAGGTTTATGTCTACTTCAGGTTGCAGTTGCACCAGAGGCAGCTGTGTCAGGTGCAATGACAGTGACAGCATTCTCTTAATTACAATAATAATGTGGTACAAGTAAGTTGTATATGAGTAAAGAGGAAACAAAAAAGAATTAAAAGAATGTTTTAAGAAAGAGAGCATGAAATTTGCAAATATGCATCATAGTACAAAGTACTGTAGTTCAGCTTTTTAAATATGACTTAAGACCAAATAATCTCATTGTGAACAATCTTCCTCTTCTTCCCTGGTAGTGTTGCCATGGATAAAATACAGGCAAGGATTTATTTTGATTTGTTCTTTACTAAATACTATAGTATGTACTATTTATTTTTAAGACTTTATGCACCTGTTGTATTCCATTTAGCCTGGTATGGAATACAATAATTAAGAGTACAGTGGACCCTCGGCCAACGAAGGCATCGTCTAACGATAAATTCGTCCAACGAAGCGTTTTGAGCGTAAAAATTTTGGCCCGACCAACGATGAAAAACTCGACCAATATGATTCGTCCCGAACCTATCCATCCAGCCTGAGTGCCTCAGCTGCCCTGCCGTCATTGTTTACAAGCCAGGGTGGACGATTCCACGCATATATTCAATAAATTTTGTATTATTCCATTTTTTTAGTGCTTGTAACTGCTAAATAAGCCACCATGGGCCCAAAGAAAGCTTCTAGTGCCAACCCTGCGGTAAAAAGGGTGAGAAATACTATCGTACTAAGGTCGGCTGCTGCTGCACCACCGTCAGCTGCTGCTGTACCACGGTCAGCTGCTGCTGCTGCACCACAGTCAGCAGTTGCTGCACCACCGTCAGCTGCTGATGCACCACCGTCAGCTGCTGCTCCACCACCATCAGCTGTACTACTCGAAGATGTGGAGAGTGTGTTTTTGGTGTGGCTTAACGAGAAACGGTTACCGAGAAACAATTAACCCCAGAGGGTTAGCCACCCAGGATAGCCCAAGAAAGTCAGTGCGTCATCGAGAACTGTAACTTATTTCCATTGGGGTCCTTAATCATGTCCCCCCCCAGGATGCAACCCACACCAGTTGCCTAACACCCAGGTGAAAAGGAAAAAATGTCTGGAACTAATACTCATATTGGTGAATTTAAGGCCAGCAAAGGTTGGGTTGAGAGATTTAAGAATCATAGTGGCATACACAGTGTGATAAGGCACGGTGAAGCTGAAAAATTCCAACCCCAACAAGTGTTCAATTGTGACGAAACAGGCCTGTTCTGGAAGAAAATGCCGAACAGGACCTACGTTACTCAGGAGGAAAAGGCACTCCCAGGACACAAGCCTATGAAAGATAGGCTAACTCTCATGTTTTGTTGTAATGCTAGTGGGGATTGTAAAGAGAAGCCTTCACTCGTGTATCACTCTGAAAATCCCAGTATTCAAGAAAAACAGTGTCTCATCACTCATCAGTACTCTTCAATAAAGGTAAGTGTCAGTTTAACATTTATTTATGTAGTTATTGTGCATGTCTCATTGTTTTCTTTGTAGGAAAATGTATATTTCATGAAAAAAAAATTTTTTTTTTTTAATACTTTTGGCTGTCTGGAACGGATTAATTGGATTTCCATTATTTCTTATGGGGAAAATTAATTTGAGTAACGATAAATTTGCCTTAAGATAAGCTATCTGGAACGGATTAATATCGTTGGTCAAGGGTCCACTGTAGTAGGTAACCTCTTCAGAGAATTTATGATTTAGTTGTCTTGTACTCTACATCTCTGATATTATTACTTGTTTGCCCTTTCTCTGTATAGTGCTTAAACTGCTCTAGCTATTATCACTTACCCTTGTTTGTCATTCTCTTTGTAGAAATTTTAAATTGCTTAAATACCATCAGTTGTTGACTTTTTTTTTTTTTTTTTTTTTTTTTTTTTTTTTTTTTTTTTTTTTTTTTTTTTTTTTTTTTTTTTTTTTTTTTTTTTAGTATGATTCTAGGAGTCAGACAGCTTTCTCTAAGAAACAAGGTCATTGGGAATATTTGAAAAATTAATTATGGTCATTAAATTTTAAAATATCAAAAATATTTCATAGACTCTTTGTACATATCCAACATTATTGTGTATATTATTCTAACCATTAGTAATAAGACTCACTTTGCTCTCTTTAGCTTTCATTACCTATTCTCTTGAAAATACTGAATCTCATTTTTAATCATTCCTACCTCAAAAAGAGTTCCTAATTTAACTTTGAAAATAAAGCTTTGACTTTACCTTATTTCTTGTAACAATTGACGGCTCCCTACCAGTATGCTTCATTGGTTGTCAGTGTGTACAGTTTTATATCTTCACTTCTTTTCTTACTGAAAATAGTTAACTATAACCAAAAGAATGCACAGTACTTATCACAATACAGTTTAATTATGATACTGGACCTTTAAAAACAAGTGCAGAGATTGCCTGTAACCAGATTGCTTGGTAAAGTGCTGCATCTAGTGACTCTTCATGTTATGAATTAAGTTTTCAGAGAAAAAGTTATAATATTAAGAAAATATTACCTTCACTTTTAAATTATGCATGAGAAATGCATCAATGACAGTGTATTCATTGTAGATGCTTTATCAGATCAGTTTATTACGCAACAAGATGGAAGACCGACCAGCCTGTTCATCAAACAATGCCATTCCACCACCAAAGTTACCATTGGTGACATCCATGGGTCCTCCTCCTCCACCTCCACATTCTCGCCCACCTTCTGCACCTCTTCTGGACCAGGTTAGAACTCTTTTCAAGAATAAGTAGCCACGTTTTATTTATATATCTTCACTGTCTCCCCAGTTGGGTGGGCCTGACTCTTAAATTTTCTTTGTCAGTGTACTTGATTTCTCAAAATACTGTATAGTATATGCCATCTCTTAACATTTATACATTTTTATTCCGAATTTCACTATTTTTCCCATAAGAACTTTTTTTTTTAGCTGCCTTGATTTTATAACCTTATTTATCCCCTTCCAGAACTTATTCTTATTCGTAGGAAAAATTTTTTTATCAGCCCTTCATTCTTTAATTTTATCTTTGTTTGCATCTTTTTTTTTTCATCCTTTTTCACATATAGTTTGCCTTGCATCACTGAACACATAAGAACTTCTTATGTAGGTAAATGTTTTTGTAACTGTAGCATTCATAATCTGTGAATACAGGTATGATAAACAAACTACCATAATAGAAAATTTCTATAATACAGTATTAATAGATTTATTACTGTCTGGCCAAAAAAAAAATGAAATAGCTTAGTCTTCTCTATTAATAATTTATTTATTTCTTATTTTAGGAACTGCACTCAAAACAACCTTCCACAAATTCTGCCATGCTACCAGGCAGTATGCACTCAGGCACAAGCTCTTCTCAGCATGTTCGTGCAGAACGAACAGTGTCCATGCCTCATTTAGATGAACCTATCAACCATCACGAACCAAACACACACCATAACTACGATACTGACCCACGCATGCATTCAAATAAATCTGACATTAAGATGGGAGGTGGAGGAACCATGTCTCATTCCAAGTCAGTAGGAAACATGCCAGGTCCTCCCAAACCTCCCCGAGTAATGGACCGTGACCGAGGAACCCATAGCTTAGATCGACACTTGGAAAGTCGTAGCATGAGTGAGCATGGCAGAATGCCAGGTGATGTACGAGCTACCCATTCATTGGATCGAGATCGTTCTGAAAGAAAGTGGGATCATGATCGAAGTGAATGGACACACACAGAAAGGTAACCAGATAATACTTTTATTGTTTTAGTAGTGATATTTTCTGAATGCTATGTTGCTCATTTTATTCCTACTAATTTAAAATTATTCACCTAAATTATTTTTTATTTCTGGGTAAATAATAAAAAAAAGCAAGGGGCTAGTAACCCCTTCTCCTGTATACATTACTAAAGTTAAAAAGTAAAAATTTTTTTTTTTTTTTTTTTTTGGGGGGGGGGGGGACACCACTGTTTCGGTGGGATATGGCCGGTTTGTTGAAAGGAGGGGGAGAATAAAACAATCACTTTTATGAAAATTTATTTGTTTTTTATTCAAACTTTTTAATATTTCCAGAGAGCGTAATGAACACCCAGAATCGCGCCGTGAGCGTGGCTCTAGTTTAGAGCGGCTCTTGGACTCTGATGACAAAGGAAATTCAGTACCTCTTGGACGGGCTGGGATACGATCTGCTCTGCAGACATGGCACAAAGAAAGAAGCAGAGGGGACCCTGGAGATAATAATAATAATAACAATAATAGTAATAATAATAATATTAAGAGTATACTTAGAAAAGAATTGCGAGAACCAAGGTTTGTGGTATTCTTTGCTAACAATTATGTATTTATCTTGTACTAAAAATATTTATTGCTGGATGTGATTAGAACAATAGAAGTTTAAGAAGTACCCAAAATGTTAAGTTGTTAATGCATTTTTAAGTTGTTCGTTAGTAGTATTCCTGTACTGTTTAAGCATTTTTATTCTTACGTTAATTTGCAAGTTTTTTTTTTTTTTTTTTTTTTTAATTTAATTTACATTTTTTCCTTAACTCTGAAAAGTTTGCAAATGTTTTATGTGCATTGTCTCTAGTTTTTATTTGGTAGTCTTCAATTTTATGTACTTTAGGGTAGTAGTTTATGAATGAATATCTACAAATTTTGCTTTAATAACTTATCTGTATTTTTATGCTTGTTTGTAGCATTTTATATTATATCATAATCCAGCTTTTAATGTGTTGAGTTGAAGTTTTCTGATAGTTGTTATGAATCAGTATCATGTGATTTTTATACCCATGGCCAAAGCAGGGATTAATTTTTAAGAGAAGTTCTCAAAGTTGTAAAATTTATAGAATTTTGTAGAGCCCTGTTTAAAAGCCATGAGTTAGAAAAATATAAAATACAGTAATGGGCAGGTACTGTAAGCTAATAATTAGTATAAAATAAAGGATAAAATAATACGATGGATAATGAGAACCTTCAAAACTAGGGATGCCAAGCCCATGATGATTCTCTTCAAATTGCTTGTGCTCTCTAGGCTGGAATACTGCTGTACACTAACAGCCCCCTTCAAGGCTAGCAACATTGCAGACCTGGAGAGGGCACACATAAGTGCGATAAGGCACCTAAACTACTGGGAACGGTTGAAGGTATTCTCTCTCGAACGCAGGCGAGAGAGATACATGATAATATACACTTGGAAGGTCCTGGAGGGATTGGTACCAAACCTGCACACAAAAATCACTTCATATGAAAGCAAGACTCGGCAGGAGATGCAACATTCCCCCGATGAAAAGCAGGGGCACCACAAGTACACTGAGAGACAACACAATAAGTGTCCAGGGCCCCAAGACTGTTCAATTGCCTCCCAGCATACATAAGGGGGATTACCAATAGACCCCTGGCTGTCTTCAAGAAGGCACTGGACAGGCAGCTAAAGTCAGTACCTGACCAACTGGGCTGTGGTTCGTATGTCAGCTTGCGTGTGGCCAGCAGTAACAGCCTGGTTGATCAGACCCTGATTCACCATGAGGCCTGGCCTCAGACTGGGCCGTGGGGGGCGTTGACCCCCAAAACCCTCTCCAGGTAAACTCCAGGTATTTGAACTGCATTGTATGTGTGTGTATTTTAAAAGACTATGACATTGCAGTAGACTTGCATGGTAAAGGCAGAACTGTTCTTAGAACATTAGGTTAAGACTACACCAACAGTTCAAAAGTAATTATTAAAACTTCTGATATCAACAGTAAAACAGAAAAAAATACACAGAGTAATGCTCAAGAAACTAAACAGTCCTCAAATGCCAACTGGAAAGTGTATAATATTTAGTGAAGCAGAGTACAAGCAGCATAACCTTAGAAGAATGCAGGGTTTGGCAGGGCAGTAGCATCTGTCTAGCCATGGCCGTCACTTGGAACGGAGATGTGAACTGTCCTCGACTACTATGTATTGGGAAAGGCAGGCATTCACTGTCATAGCACAAGAAAAACTGAAGCTATATTTTATAGTAAACATGGACATTATCAGTTTAAAATATTGTAAGAGACTTTAGAGCTCGCCAAATAAAAGTAAGCTTTAAGGTTTGAAAAGACAATTAAATGACAGAGATCAAGAGGCAAATTATCTCACTGTTGCTGAATTCCTAATTTTACCTGCTTGTTGAGCACTACTTAGTGAAGACAATATTTAGAAGAAAAGGAAAAGTTAATTGGTAAGATTACACTTTCACAATACTATAAACAAGAGAATTAGTAACATAGTATGTCGAGTAATGTTGAAAATTATGTCATAGGGCTAAGATATAAATGGTAATGCACATTCATGTTGTTAAACCTCCATCTGTGCTAGATCAGCCTCAGTGCCCAACAAATGTTTCTATTATAAAAATTTAGAGTGCCTTCCTTCTGTGGATGGCCATCTTCTGACCTTGTAGGGAAAGAGAGCATTACCCTTGGCCTGTTGCTCTCTGGTGTGGGCTTTGCCCAGTGCTGAATAAGGAGATCATCTTGTGAATAATTCTGGCATGATCCTTAGATGAACAAAGAGGTCACTTCTCATATTACCTGGCTCTAATTAGTGGATCAACCTGTGGGTCTGCCTCCATTAGTGGATGATAGTGCTGTGATTTTAAGTATCCACTCATTGTCACTAGAAAACTGTTTTGACATGTTTCTGCCTGCTGTTCTGCCACTTTTCTTGGCTGTATTGTTTCTGGTTGCCAACTGTACTTGTATGGATGCATTGTCCCTGTTGGTGCCTGTGAATTGCAAGAGTACAAAAAAAAAAGTGAAAGTAAGGTTGAACTATGAACTTATTTTTTAACACTAATTTTTTTGTTCATCTTACTGTTAGATTTGTGGGAAAACTGTGCATAATGTGCTGTTGGAGAAATTTTACTGCCATTTTCCATTATCCACATCCAATTAATATACAGTATATTTTCACATAAATACATTATTATTATTAGTAGTAGTAGTATTGTAAGTTTAATATTACAGTGCCTTGTAAATTGAGTTCTTATTTTCTTTTATTGCCTAGATCATCATTGGCAGTGGAACCTGTTGGGCGAGGAGTAGGGGATGGTGGGGATAGTACTAGGGCAAATGTGGCAGCCCAATCTGAGGCTTCCACTGCTACAGCCACAGTGATGACAACAGCACCAAGTGCAGCACCCACTCATAAAAAATCGAGCAGGAGACGAGAGCCCAGGAGACACACTCTTCAAAATGGAATTGACTGCAGTATGGTATGCAGGAAAATTAATATTCTATTGCTTTATCATTGCTGTATTCCTTTGAATTCTCATGTTTTAATATTTCACTTTTGAACTAAATTGTCATCACTTAACCCTTTCACTGTCTCCCATGAAGATCTGTGCTATTGACTCCAGTAGATGCATGTTTTAAGCACAGCTCTGTCAGATGTGCTGTGAGTGGTAAATTAGGGCCTAAACACAAAAGAATGAATCTGTGGTGAGTATGAGTGGTATTAAAAAATCCTGCCCCATGTATTGCACAATAGGAAAAGCAAACCTTTGGCCTTGCACTTGGTTTAAAATAAGAGACTTTGAGGTGGTTTTGTGGTTTTATTGGCTTTTTTGTATTAATACCTGAGACAATGTTTATTTTGGACCCTGTTTTTAAATTGGAATTTGATGAATTTTGTGTATTGGCCAAATTACCTATTTCTTTGGAGTTTTTAGGGTAGTCCTGATAGTTGAATGGGCAGTTTTTTGCACTCAGTCAATAGAAGAGAAGGCATACTAGCAAAACAACTAGGAATTTTGATAAACTGAGCAATGGAATTTGCTTAAAATAAGACTCAAATTAATTGAAGTTGCCAATGCTTAAATTGCTTCCAGACCACCAACTTTGTGCCTGTGTAATTCCATGTTTTTCATCAAATTTCACATTTTTGATGTCAGTACCTTCAGAAAAGATTCTCTACCACTTCAGAGGATTTTTTTTAAATCTCGACACTGTCAGCACTTTTAATTTCAGGAGTCGAGACAGTGAAAGGGCTAAATCATGCATTAATTAAAGAAAGTGGTTAGTAATTATATTTTTTTTAATAGCTGAGGCGCTTAAAACAGTTGGAGGCTGAGCGAGATATGCTGATCCAGGGTTACGAGGTTGTGGAGAGAGCACGAAACTGGTATAGGCAGCAGTTACAAGCCATTTCAGAAAGAATTCACTATCTACCACAAGGTCCTCCCAAGCATGTAGGTTAAAGGTTTTCCAAGGCCACCTTATTTTTTAAATATTGTCTAACTATAATTAATCTTTGACCCTCAAACTTTGTATACCAACCCTATTAATATTAACAAGTTATTGTAATGTTGTTAGGTAAGACACATATGCAACAGTTAGGTATCTTTATTTCGAAACGTATTTTATACCATTTTAATGTTCACTCTGTCAGACACTGCAACACAAGAGTATCTTGGTACAGATCTGAAATCAACTTTGTCAACTTCTACTAGTGAGAATGGCTGGATTTGAGAGGGACCTGACCTTCCAACGACAGCATTCTTACCTCTACTAGTGGCCTACATCTCGCCTCCTGGCGGTATATAGGCTCCATCCTGTCACTTCAACTCCATATTGTTTCAGACTATGGAACAATACTCTTCTCCAGACTGAGGGACTGACCACCTCAAAACTTCAAGGGTGATGGACTGATCACATCGTCTTCAAGTATCTTCTGCTTCTATCAACTTTTCTGTACTCGACTGAAGAAGCCTACTGTGTAGGCGAAAAGTTTCGAAATAAAGATACCTAACTGTTGCATATGTGTCTTACCTAACAACCTGTCGGTATTTTATACCATTTTAATGTTCACCCCTTCAAGTTATTGTAATTATTATATTGTACCTTTTTTTTTTTTAGTAACTGTCAGCTGATTAGAACTTGTCCAAAACACTGCACATGTGGGCTTTGTAAAACAAGAAGAGGTAATGCATCTTTTATAATTATCACAGGAACCAAGCTTGGAAGCACAACAAGAGAAACTACACTTTCAGCTTGCACGTATTCATGAAGTTAATGCACATTTGCAAGCTCTCATGGAGGCAACAGAGCATGGTCTTCCATCACACATGAACCTGGCCATCTGCTCAAATACATCCACTGCTGTTGCTGGTAGTAATCACCGGAACTCTGGTGCCAGAGGTCAGGTTGCAGACTCGGGTGACCAGGAACGGATTATTATAAGGCTCAAAGACCAGAATCACCTTCTTACTGAGGTTAGTTTGCAGTGAATGTAAAATGGTATGAAGAACTTTGCAGTACACTTGGATGTTTGCAGAATAAACAAATTGTTTACTACTTTGGCTTCAATAATTGATTTATTAAATATTTTTTAATATACTATTGTATGTACTTCTTTTACTTATCGGAAAAATGGAGAGTAATTATTATTATACAGTATATAGTGGGGAACTCTAAACCATTAGGGATCACATGGGTCATATAGGTTTAGTCCAAGGAAGAGAAGGACAGATACAATTCTTTGCATCAAGAGCCCCTCACAGACATCTAGGAATATTCTCTGAGTGAGGGAAGAAATGGGGAGAATATTTTAAGAATTTGAAATTTAGGCAGAAATTTAATGTTTGGGATGAGGAGAAAGATGTATTAAAATTTGCGAGTGAATTACTATAAAAGTAATGTAAAGAAGAAGAATACAGAAAGTGGTAAGCAGTACTGTGCTTTCTTTTCATTTATACTTTTTTGTATTTCTAGATTTTTTACTTTATATATATCTACAGATAATTTAGAATTGATGAGGGGAAAAGGGTGAGTGGTGCACTTAGGAGTCTGTGGAGACAAAGAACTTTGTCCTTGGAGGCAAAGAGGGGAATGTATGAGAGTATAGTTTTACCAACACTCTTATATGGGTGTGAAGCATGAGTGATGAATGTTGCAGTGAAGAGAAGGCTGGAGGCAGTGGAGATGTCATGTCTGAGAGCAATGTGTGGTGAATATAATGCAGAGAATTCGTAGTTTGGAAGTTAGGAGGAGGTGCGGATTACCAAAACTGTTGTCCAGAGGGCTGAGGAAGGGTTGTTGAGGTGGTTCGGACATGTAGAGAGAATGGAGCGAAACAGAATAACTTCAAGAGTGTATCAGTCTGTAGTGGAAGGAAGGCGGGGTAGGGGTCGGCCTAGGAAAGGTTGGAGGGAGGGGGTAAAGGAGGTTTTGTGTGCAAGGGGCTTGGACTTCCAGCAGGCATGCGTGAGCGTGTTTGATAGGAGTGAATGGAGACAAATGGTTTTTAATACTTGACGTGCTGTTGGAGTGTGAGCAAAGTAACATTTATGAAGGGGTTCAGGGAAACCAGCAGGCCGGACTTGAGTCCTGGAGATGGGAAGTACAGTGCCTGCACTCTGAAGGAGGGGTGTTAATGCTGCAGTTTAAAAACTGTAGTGTAGAGCACCCTTCTGGCAAGACAGTGATGGAGTGAATGATGGTGAAAGTTTTTCTTTTTCGGGCCACCCTGCCTTGGTGGGAATCGGCCAGTGTGATAATAAAAAAAAATAATTTAGAAATGGGTTTCAAAGCTCCTGGCCCTGAGTGGACAAGATCCACAGGATTAAGATAAGAGATAGTACCTGTGAAGGGCTTTGGAAAAACTGGCTTTCCAGATCCATTTTGGCTGTGATTAGTCCTGTACGGTACCTACACTCTGAAAGGGTTTTATTGGGTCAACGTTGGACCATCACATTTCTAGAGGCAGCTGGTATGAGTAATACTGAATGAGTGTTTCTTTCACGCTGTGCTACTGTAAAATCATTGGCTTAAAAGAAAACAAGTGTTTATCCTTGTTTCTCTTCAGATGTATGTTTGTGCATTATTTCTGTATTGGCAGAAATGAAAAAATGAAAAAATTTATTTTCAGGAAGTAAGCAACAAAAGTGAGCGCATTACTGTTCTTGAGCGTGAAAAGGCAGCTCTGCTACGAGAACTTTTCCAGTCACGTTCTTCTCACCACCATCTACAGGGAGCATCTGCTGACTCAACATTCATGTGATCTACCATATGATTATTTTACTGAAATGTTGAAATTTGTACTCACTATTCATTAATAATTCATTATAATGAAAACTATGTACATCTTCAACTTCTTTTAATTATTAATTAAAAGGAAGTTAACATTTTTTAAAGTTCAAGTTGAAGCTTTACATCTTAAATTGCCATTTCAAAAATCACTGACGTTCAGTATCAACATATTTAAAGTAAAATTGTTACATATTAGCCACTTGCCCGGTGATTTGTCCAGTTATTGATTGAAGGACATTTTTTTTTTTAATGCTTTTCTTATAATGTTACAGTTATGCCTGCATTTATATTTTTACTATAATTACCTGACTAACTGATCAAGTTACCCCTCAAGGAATTAATAATGACCATGACACTTAACAATCAAACAAAAATTCTGCTCCTGCTCTCTGGTTGTCTTTTGTATTTGTATCTCATATTTTCATCACCTTGACAGATTTTTTTAATAACCAAAATAGTTTTATGTTATGGATTTGCATTTAACTTTTTCTTGTTTTTTTGGGGGGGGGGCTCATGCCTTTTGAATTTTATTGCATTTCCTTTATCATTCATCTCATTTATACAAATCTTATGCATTCCTCTTTTCACCCTCATTGTTTTCTTTGTATATTTATCCTTTCAGTACTGCCACTATGATTTTTTTAATAAAGGTGTAGCAATTGATAAGCATAGAACTTGAAGACATTCCACACAAGTGGGTAAAGGTGATGTATTCATCATTTTGTATATGGTGACAAAATTATTAACCCAGTAGACCCCAAGCCATTAGGTGCCAATAATGATCAATTTTAAACTGTGATTTAATTTTAAGTTAAGATGAAAAATTAATTCCTTTAATTTTTATGCAGCAAGGTGTTTCTTGTATCATAGGTATGTGATATGCTTGCAAAATCTGTAGTGGAAAGTGTATATATGCTTCATTGAAGTGTATCATGATCTCTTACAGTTATTAAGTTTAATGAACATGTTTTGAACATGATTTTCACAAGCTATGACATTCTCTGATGGTTATATTAGTAATGAGGTCATTTGTTTGTTCATAAATTATGGACTGTTTTGGCTAACATTTTGCTGCTTTTATGCGGTATTAAAAAGTTAACCTTGAATAAGAAAAAATCAGCCTGAGCAACGTAGCAGCTAGATTTTTAATTTTTTTTTTTTTTGTTTTCACAGTTTGGTTTCCTCATAACTTTGTATATTTAGGCATGAAATAAACCACTACAGTTCAGTCCCCAATATTATTTTAATAAAATACTTAGCATATGCCTCCCAGTAATTAGAGGGAAACATATACAGTATATGCGTTATATGCATTTTTCGATCCCAGGGAAAAGAATGTTTTTTATATTGTTCACACTTATTGCAAATCTTTTTAATAGTATATGGAGCAACTGATAAAACAAACATTTTGAGATAATGTAAAGAAAAATATTCTAACACTTGCTATTTCCTACCACTATCATCATTCACAATTCAAATAATTCACCAAACTGTAACATCCCTATATATCCTTCAGAATGCTGGTACTATATTTCCCACCTCTATAACCATATCACTCCCCCTCCAGGCATTACTGCTATTAATTAATTGTACATGTTTGCATAAAGTAAAACTTAAAACATTTACCTATTGTTATAATATTTAAAAGAAAAAATTGTCAGTTGTATTTTGTATTGATTTAAATTTTTCAGACACCAAGACTTAGAGAAATGATTGAAGCAAAGCTGACACCTTGATTAATAATCTACAGTACAGGAGGGCCCCATTTGTATGGCTCTTAGGTTCCCCTTGCGATAAGCAAAAAATCACAGGCGGGTGGAAGAAGAGCGTGTTTTCATTATCGAATGCATCTAAAATGCCCGATAACGAATTTACACTATCATATATTAAGTGCTCAGTACAGCTAGGCATAAAAAAAGATTAAAAAAGTAAAATAAATGCATAGTACATATAATACTTACCTTAAAATATGGCACCGTTCACCCTTCCCTTACATGCCTGTTGCACGAAAATGGTGGAAAAAGCGGTAAAAGTACCAAACATAATGAACAATGGCTCAGTTGAAAACCAATGAAAACATGGAGCACTGAAGAGGTGCCAAATACACTGGGCTCTCCTGTAAGTACATTTTACCTCCTTTCACTTTTATGTACTTTAACTAATGAAATGACATTTCAGTACACTATTGAGAATAAATTATTTGATAAAATAGTACAATATATTGTACATCATGCAATATTTAAATACAAAAATTCAGGGCTTTATGGGATTACCAAATACTACAGTGGACCCCCACCGTTCGGCGGCCGCAACTTTCATGAAATCCGACTTTCAGTAAGTTTTTTCGGCAAAATTTAGCTTCGTGGTTCGTGATTGGACTCGTGATTCGGCGACCTTCTGGTACGCATCTGCCCATCAGCGCGCACAAAGCCAGTCTCCCGCACTATTCACACTCGGTGTACCATTGTTTACCAGCATGTGACCATCACCCCACGGGTTCATACAACACATTTCATAATAATTCATTTTTTTTGTGCTTGCAACTGCTAAATAAGCCACCATGGGGCCAAAGAAAGCTCCTAGTGCCAGCCCTTTGGTAAAGAAGGTGAGAAACATGATAGAATTCAAGAAAAGCTCATAGCAAAGTACTAAAGTAGAGGAGGAAGAGAGGGGGGAGAATGTGCCTTCTGCAGTGATTCTACAATATGTATGATACTAAAGCAGCAGGTATCGATAAAGGCTATAGCTCCAGCCAGGGATAAAGTGTAGAATTAACAGTGTAGCAAGTAAGGTAAGCGATAGAAAAACAACATGAGAGTAACTCTCCAACGTAGTTGGATGTGTATAGGACCGCTGAACATACACCGCCCTGTTATCTTCCACCACCCTAAACCTCTGCCAACATCTCCTTCATCAAACTAACATCTCCTCCAAGGTAAGTGTAAATATAAAAGGACACCAATGGAAATATATGTCACTCTTGAATTTTTTGGGTTATCCTGGGTACTTTACACATATGCTGCTATGTATGATAATCTATGTATGTAACTGTACAGTGGACCCCCGCATAACGATCACCTCCGAATGCGACCAATTATGTAAGTGTGTTTGTACGTGTATGTTTGAGGGTCTGAAATGGACTAATCTACTTCACAATATTCCTTATGGGAACAAATTCGGTCAGTACTGGCACCTGAACATACTTCTGGAGTGAAAAAATATCGTTAACTGGGGGTCCACTGTATTTGTGTATGCCTGAATAAACTTACTTATTTATAAATTAAAATGTAAATATTTCTTATTTATAAATTACATACATTGTTTAAGTGTGATGGTGGTGGCCAAAGCCTCCACCGCCACCAACACGGCTTCTCTCAGTGACGGCCCTTAAACCCAACAACAACACTTACACCATTTACTCCTCTCATACATTATGACATATTTTATTCATTCTAAAGTATATATCATGTTTCTATGTTATTAATATTGTTTATAATGTCATATTAGATGAATTGTGATAAATAAATAAGCCGGAGAGATGATATTAGCGTCATATTGAAGCATAATAAACTCGCCTTCCTGTTGCCTCCTACACCAACAAGAATCAATAAAGGTTAAGTGTGATGTTAAATGTTCATTTATCCATTTTATTAGTGCTTTATATTTATTTGTCATTGTTTTCTATATGTAAATCTATATTTAATCTTTAAAAAAATATTTTTTGTTAATACTTTTGGCTGTCTGAAACGGATTAATTGGGTTTCCATCATTTCTTATGGGGAAAATAATTCGCCAATCATGAATTTCGCCAGTCGGCAGACTCTTTGGAATGGATTAATCACGAAACTTGGGGGTCCACTGTAGATATTAGGTATTATGTGCAATATGTAAAGAAATGTAGAGCAAACTGAAAAATTACTATAAGCCATTAAGAATGTTTCTAAATGAATTTAAGGATATTGTCTTATACATATCTTTATCTTCCTTATGCCAGGTATAAAGGGTGGTTGATAAAATTAAAATCCTATGCTGGCACAGATCTTGAAATAATTGTCCTTTCCAAAAAAGGTTACAATAAATGCATGGTACTCTAACTGATGAGGTATTTGAACTTGGGGAAAGAATGTACATTTATTATTTGTAGTTGAAAACCTATAATTTCTAATCACATTGTTTTATATTGTTACTCAAAAAATTCCAATTTACAAAATTGTGCTTTTAACGCTGCCATACGCTTCCATCATACATAAATGAACCCCCCAAAATAAAATTCTGATGATTTTTTGAAAATTGAACTATACTTGTCACCGTACGTTTACCTTATGCTAATTTGAGGAAACACTAAACCAATAGGGTTACCTTACAAGGGGTCATACAGCACCCTGGAAATGGGGGGCAATCACATTCAACCCAAAGGAAAAAAAGGATGAACCCATTCCCTTTGGGACCACACGGGATCAAGAGCCCATCATTGGCCAAAAACTTCCTTGGGGGACAATTGCTTAAATGGGATTGAAATTTGTCAGAGGCAGATAGCCATTTCAAGATTTTTAATTCAAAGTAACTAAAATATATTTTTTGTAAAGCAAATTAAATGGAAAAAATTTTTAAACTTATATTGCTAGTATCGTAATTAGCCAACGAAGTCGAAATTTTTTGCAACTTGTGCCATTTTTACATAAAATCACAAGCAAGGTATCTTGATGCAATGGGGGGGATATTGTTTAAAGGGAAATGGGATGTTTCTTTTCCTTGGTAAAACCCCGAATCCTCCTTTTCCCCTAGCCCCCGGAGTTCAGATTTTCCCTTTTTAATTTTATTACAACCCAAAGTAAGTGTTAAACTTAAAAGGGCGGACGTGCTAAGGATTTTTTTTTAACACATCGACTGATTCCCACCAAGGCAGGGTGGCCCAAAAAAAGAAAAACTTTCATCATCATTCACTTCATCATTGTCTTGCCAGAGGGTTGCTTTACACTACAGTTATAAAACTGCAACATTAACACCCCTCCAGAGTGCAAAACTATGCTAAAGAATGTGTGAAAATCAAGACCAATCAGAGTTAGGAGTATGCAAGAGGCAAAGTCAGTAAGGGAAGTCAGGAGTGCTAAAGGGGGAAAATATAATCAAAGTTGGTGTAATAAAGTAGTTGCTGACAAAAAGTCGAGTGTCTTTGTCAAAGGTGGGGCTGTTGGAAAGGGTCAGAAAAAAGTGTTTTTAAATGGTGATGATGCAGATGTAATTCTGCATTTTATAATTACAGAAGCAGTAAAGAGTTTTTCGAGGATGTGAGGCTCAGTTAGAGTTGTGGGAAAAAAAAAGGGGAAAATTATTTCCAGAAAAATGGGGCCTTTGACAAGGATGTGTGTTCACCATGGTTTTTCAATATATTTTAGAGGGGGTTGTAAGAGAATAAATGTGAGGGTTTTGGGCAAGAGGCATGGATTAAAAAGATAAAGAATCACACAAAGTGGGAGTTGTCCCCAGTTGTCTTTGTATGACATGCTTTGGGAGTTTCGAAGAGAAGTTCGAGTTTGGGGGATGAATTTGGTAGGGTGTCAAAAAAGAAAATTAAAAAGTGAATAAAAAGAGTAAGTTATGGGAAAACAAAAAAAGATTGGGTGAAAAAATTGGATATCGATTGGAGGGAGAGAGTAGGAGGAGGCAATGTATTAATTTTTGGGGGAGTAGACGTGTCCGGAGGGGTCATGAAAAATGAGGTAATATAGAAGGATGGGGGGAAAAGGGTGAGTGGGCCTTGGGAGTCTGTGGAGACAAAAAAACTTTGTCCTTGGAGGAAAAGAGGGGAATGTAGAGAGTTTGTTTTACCAACGCTCTTATATGGGTGTGAAACATGGGTATGAATGTTGAGTGAGGGGGGTAGGGAGGGGGGTGTCATGTTGGGGCAATGTGTGGTGTGAAAAAAGAAAATTATTATTTTATAATCAAAAAGAAGGCTAACCACAAGGACTTAAAAACAATTTTAAAGCAGAGAATTTGTAGTTTGGAAATTTGGGGGAGGGCGGGATTACCAAAAAATTTTGTCCAGAGGGCTGAGGAAGGGTTGTTGAGGTGGTTCGACATGTAGAGAGAATGGAGTGAAACAAGTGACTTCAAGGTGTATCAGTCAGTGGAAGGAAAATGGGGGTAGGGGTTGGAGGAGGGGGAAAGGGGTTTTTTTGTGCGAGGGGCTTTGGGGCTTCCCGAGGCATGCGTAAGCTTTTGATAGGAGGGTGGGGACAAATGGTTTTTTTTAAAACTTGACTTGGCTGTTGGAGTGTGAGCAAAGTAACCTTTTTGAAGGGGTTCAGGGGGAAAAGTCAGGCCCGGGTTGGTCCTGGAGTGGGAAGTACTGCCTGCACTTGAAGGGGGGGTTAATGTTGCGTTTAAAAACTGTATGTAAAGCCCCCTTTGGGAAAACAGTGTGGAGTGAATGATGGTGAAAATTTTTCTTTTTCGGGCCACCCTGCCTTGGTGGGAATCACCAGTGGATAATAAAAAAATTTTTTTTTATATGTACTTCCCCCACATTAAAAACTAAAAAATTTTGATTTCAACCATCGATTAATATTTTTGTTTAAAAGAGATTCAACTTTATTGGGTTTCAGTCAGGGTAAAGAAAAAATAATCATATATTTATATTGATTAAATTTTTTTTGTTTTTTTAAATAAAAATACACAAAAAAAACGTATACTATCAGACATATCAAAAGGCCCCCTCCAAGAAAAAAAAATTCCCACAGGAGACAGGTAAATTTTAAAGTTAAAATATATAAAAAAGGCTTTGGTTATTACACACAATACAGATTATTCACCTCAAGATTCGTACTTTCATGGAAAATTGGTGAAAACCCAGGTTTTCATTTATCGATTTTTTATAAAAGGAAACCCTGAGATTCCCTATGAAAAAATTACTGAAACCTTTTTTACATTTTTTTTTTTTCAACCTTTTTGAGTGTTCTTGAAAAAACCCGTTTTTTAATAAACAATACGGTTTTAAAATGAACAGTTTTACCTATGTACCAATTTCGTAATTTATTTTGATCATCAAGGGTCACTTGTCTATAATTCTACACGCAGATTTTCCAAGAAGAAAGTATAACTACAGAAGAATAGAGAAGCCTTAAATTTTCTTTTAGAATGGGAACTCAAATTGTGTATTTTTTTCTTAAAAATTTATTATAAATTTATGAAAAGGCTTTCAGAAAACCTTAGGTATTACAAAAACATGTACGACAACTTTTTTTTAAAAAAAACTTTATTAATTTTTTTTTTTTTTTTTCCAAAAATGGCCGTCTCCCGGGCGGGTAACCCCAAAAAGAAAAAAACATACTTCATTATCATTCAAACCCTTTTTACCCCATTCTACTTATATAATCATATCTTTGCAGGAGGGCCCAATCAACAGTTTAGAAGTATATATAAAAATTTAAAAATATTCCTCCCAAATAACCTTCCATCCGATTAGACCGTGTTTTTTATGCCAAATTTCGGGGAAAAAAACAACTATTTTTTGTTGTAAAACAGTGTTTATCCTAAACCTTACAGTATAACATACAGTCCTAACAGCATAAAAAGTAAAGTAAAACATGAAATACCAAAATAAAACAATAAAATAAAGTCATTACAAAAATGTTTTGTTGATATTCAGTAGTAAAGTTCGACTTACGACCATTTCGACTTACGACCGGTTTCTCGGAACCGAACTCAGTTGTAAGTTAGATGGTAGGTGTACCAATATCCCAAACCCCTACTTTAAAGTGCAGGTATTGATCCAACTATATAAAAATAACTGTTTTCCCTGAATCCCTTCACTAAATATTACCCTGCTCACACTCCAACAGCTCGTCAGGTCCCAAAAACCATTCATCTCCATTCACTCTTATCTAACACGCTCACGCACACTTGCTGGAAGTCCAAGCCCCTCGCCCACAAAACCTCCTTTACCCCCTCCCTCCAACCTTTTCAAGGACGACCCCTACCCCGCCTTCCTTCCCCTACAGATTTACATGCTCTCCATGTCATTCTAC